GTGTTACTATCTGGATGTGCAACAGCAACAGGAAACACCCGCAGCTGGCACTAGGAAGGTCAGAAATTGAGATTAAAATCTTGTTTAAAAACTGGCTGTAAGCGGCAGCCCTGGGGGATGTAAATGTATTTCCCACCCAACTCCTCCTCACTGAAGAGAAAGCTTTGAAAAAAAATTTGTGCTTAATTCATTCTGAGCAAATGAAATTCTGGCCCTGAGCTTCTCCTCGTAGGGCTTCTGAAGAGCTGGTTTTCACAGCAGTATTTTCATTTAAGTTAGCTAGAAGCAATTTTAAAAATTAAACATTCGGGTTTCAATTATTAAAAAAACCCAAACCCTTGCCTGCTAGTTAAGTTCCATCTCTTAAATCTTATTTATTTTAATTAGTTTGTAAAACTTGCTGAGCTACCTGTGGTCATCTTGAGCATTTTTTTGACTCAGCTTGGTTTTGAAACTGCCAGGCAGTGGGTAATTAACAAATTTATCATCATAAATATGATGGAATATTAATATTAATGGTTTTTCATTTAATTGTGTGAGTCTACAAATTACTTTTTACAAGCAGAAAGCCATTTAATTCTTGGCATGCTGATTCTGTTGCATGAGTACAGTTTAATCTAAGGTTTGCCTAATATTTTTTTGGTATAGAGATGCTGCCATTTCATATCTTTTGTCTTGTCAACTTACTGAGGGATATGTATTTGTGTGCCTGTTTGGTTTCTATTAATTTTAGGGGATTTTAATGCAGATAAATCAGATTATCATGGCAGCAGAAGAATCATGTAGTCAGCTGGAGCCAAGTCTATTGTAGATGATGTTGATATGAATTCAGCTCATCCCCAGCATCTTTGCCACTCTGGGTGTGAGCTTCTTCTCACCAGCACCTGCCAACCTTTATCATTTATGTGGGGCTTCAGTGGTGTGGAAAAGCATCCTTAGAGTCTAGGATAAGAGTATCAGATTTATTTCACTTGTTGCTTATCCAGCTTTCCATAATTGAGAACTTGGCCTTAAAATATTCCACGAAGCAGCTGCTGCACAAACAAAATAAAACTGCATCCAAATAGTTAGTCTCCAGTGATGATCTTGCCTGCTGGAGAGTGGGCAGCCAAACTTTTGGCATCCCTCCTCTGCTGCTGGTTTAGCAGCCACTGGGTGTTGGGCTGAGTTGGGATTCACCCATATGTCTAATACATAGAAAAATAAGCAAGCTATATAGGGGAAGGCAAGGCAGAAAGATTTGTTCTGGACCCATCATGATATCTTTCCCTATGCTCAGGAGCCTGATGATGTTGTTAGATAACAAAAAGCTGATTCTCTGAACAGAAACCTGCCAAGGTTGTAGGAGATCTGCTTTTAATTCTTTGCTTTGATTCAGGTTTCCTCTCTGTCCCTGGACAAGTCACTTAATTCTTCAGCTTGCCTTTTTTTTGGATGGGAGTAAACTAGCTGGGTATTTCCATGCGTCACAAGAAGCTGAATTTAAAATTGAAGGTGTTGAATTAAGCCTCATCAAAAGCTAATACATTACAGAGAAAAACCAAATAATAATAAGCTCTATCACATTGAGTGAATTGGAATAATATTTTGATTTTGCATTTGCTGTCTGTGAAATGACTTGATTAATGTTGGCAATGGATTCTGGGATTTCTCAGGCTGCTTCTGAAGAGATAAGATTGGCATAAATTAAAAATAAAGTATTATTAACGGGAAGGACCTGAATTCAAATGATTCCTGTCAAATCTGTACCTTGTGATCCCTTTCTGGCACTGATGGAGTTGATGGACCAGTCTGCAAGTAGCACTTTGTGCTGGAAGATGATGAAAGAGAGGTCACCTTGAGTACCCTTGAAGATAGGGTCAGGCAATAACTCCTGTATTGCCTTGTTTCCTGCCAAAAAGAACCTCGATGACTAAAGCACTTATTTTCTGAGTGCTGGCACAGGACTTTCCCTGGATTAAGTCTCCTTGCTTCTATAAAACCAACAAATACCTGAGAAACAGAATAGCAGGTCCAGGGAGATTGTATAGAGTGAATTCAGAAGGGCTTCTGTAAAACAACAATAGGGACATCCTAAGTGCTGTAAAGCTTCATGGATTTTTTTCAGCTTTCCCTTGTTCACCATTGATGAGCCCTGAAAAGATGTGATGTGGTGCAGGAATTAAAGCTTGCAAATCCCAAATCTGGGATCTTCCTGTCATCAGATAACACCACAAAGCAGCTGATATTCCCCAATGTTACTTCTAGCACAAGACTTTCCTTTAGCTGCCATGGTTCTGTGATGGATTTCCCTGAAGACTTTAGATTGCTGCATCTACATGAACAAACCAAACACCATGTAGGGATTAAACTCTTCAATTCCAGGAAGCCCCGTGCTGACTGTAAACAGACTGGCTGATGGTTCAAGCATGTGCAACATGTCCATCTGCTTCCTGCAAGCATCAGACCTCCTGTGACGCACATGTGTAGAAAATCTGCAGCTTTCAAGAAGATTTAGTGTGTGAATGCTCTTCTGCTGCTCTGTATCTGTGGAAATATCTGGGATATAAAGATACTCAGCTGTCTGATCAGCAGCCCTGAGTGTTGGCTTCTGCTTGTTTTCCTGATACTCTGAACACATTAACCCATGCAATGTTCCTCTTCCCTGCCATGGGGAATGTGACTTCAAGGCAGAAGTTGCAGCTTCTGAGGGGAACCTGAATTTACAGCAGTTTGCTTAATATTGGCAGAAGCTGTTTTTCTTATGATGTTGGGGGGGAAAAGGGAAGAATTTAAGCTCCCAGAGGCAGTTTTGCATTTAGGGCCAGTGGTAGAAGAAGGGTCTGGATAACTGTGGTGGCTTTATTGTGCATTGCCACAAGTGTGAAGTGGGTAGGAGAAGGGGCAATGGTTTTAAACTGAAAGAGAGGAGGTGAGATCTTAGGAAGAAATTCTTCCCTGTGAGGGTGGTGAGACCCTGGCCCAGGTTGCCCAGAGAAGCTGTGGCTGCCCCATCCCTGGCAGTGTTGAAGGGCAGGTTGGATGGGGCTTGGAGCAACCTGGGCTGGTGGGAGGTGTCCCTGCCCATGCAGGGGGGTTGGGACTGGGTGATCTTCGAGGTCCCTTCCAACCCAGACTATTCTATGGTACTTCTTCCTTCCAGGCAAGCACAGTTAATAGGATGTGGTTTGTAACCTGACATATTGCACTGATTTATCTCACCCTGTGACACTTTGTAACCCTTCTGTACTGCAAACATGAGACTAGATGTAGTCCCCTTTGTATTTTAATTGGCAAAGTACTTCTGAGAAGCATGTTACTTGTCACTCAAGGTAGAATGTGTGTGACATTTTCTTTTGGGAGAAAATTTGAACCTTTTTAACTGCAGTGAGTGAGAAAATTAAGGATATGGTAAATAAAAGCACTAGATTGGAAGTATTAGTATAACAGTAACATTTTTAGGTCAATAAAATGAGCTGGTTCTTTTCAAAATGACCTATATATACCACTCTTCTTACAAAATTCTGTTATACAGGATGCCCACACTTTAGATGTTACTTGAAGGTCACTATTTTGTACAAGACAAAGCAGGATAAACTTGTGCTGATGTGGTGGCTCATGAATTTGCTCTTGCTCCATCCCTGCCCCTTCTTTTTTCTTCACCAAAAGCCTGACTCTCTTTTAGTGAACATAGAAAAGCTAATTTGTCTCTTTCAACATAAGCACAGTGAAGTCAGGGTGTGTGTCCATAGGTTCTTAATATTATTTATTGATTCCAATAGAAAAGCAAACAAATCTGAGTATGTATGTGTGCACTATAAGGGGAAGTTTTTCTTAGAAGTTTTTGTCCTTCTAGGTGCTCCCTGATCCATATACTTTGTTGCTTCCCCCATAACTTCCCAAATTACCACTATTCTTCTTTCTAGTCTCAAGAGTTTCTTCACCCTGGTTTCACTCCCAGCAATCTGCTCATGCAGCTCAGCTAAGAACCTGTTTTCATGACTAACTCCTCTAGAGAACTGCAGCTTGTGCACCATCGGTTTATATCCATGCAAATAGAATTTAATCATCTTGGACTGACTTCATGGTACAAAGATACCTCTAAGCCACAACTCTCCTCTAAGTCACTGCCTATTGAAACCAGGAAGGTGTTAGGGGATAAAAATTAATTACTGCTGCTTTTTCAGACTAATAAATGTGAGAGGAGAGCTGGAGCATTACCTTCTCCACAGCTGTATAGACATTACCATGGGGAATGCTCAGCTGGTGTAAAAGCTACACAGCTTTAACTCCACTCAGAATATAGGAAGCAGCATTTTATTTCTCCTCACACTCAGCTGAGTCCAGATAAGGCACAATTCAAGTATAAATGCAGGTTTTGCTTTTTTAGATTCAAGGGGATTTTGCTGTAAATCAGATAATAGGCCAGTAGAAAGATCAGCCCTCTGAAGATTGATCTAGATATTGTGCCTTAGAGCTGTGATCAATTGGATTCTGCTCTGCAGAGACAGAGTTGTCTCTTTGCTTCTAGCTATTGCTAATAAATACAAGAGTGACTGCAGGCTCCAGATGTTCTTGTATTGGAAGAAATGGAAATTTTGCTGGTTGATATTAATGAGCTTTTTATCCTAGAGGATTTATTGGGGTTTTTTCCATCCTGAGTGATAATACCAACAGAAAAAACAAATGTTCTGTAGCTGAAAAGGTAAGATTTTTGAACACTGGTTGCATCTGTTCTAGATAAAACATTTATCCCAAAATTTGCATATAAAAGGAAAGAAGATCAGAAATCCCTCATCTCCTGGAATGCCAGAATATTACCTTGGTTTATTTGCTTCTGTGTGCTGGGCTTTTTTTAATAATCTATTGAATTTTTTGCGTGTCACTTTTTCAGCCACGTGTTAACATGACTTTTCCAAGTGAGATTTCCACAGTCTTACAAGCTTGCAGACATGAAACATAACTTGCAGTCATCCTAAGTTATGGAAAAAATAACTTAGATACTCTTTGTCTTTTTCAAGGAGCAACTGGGTGACCTCTTACAGAGTCTTGGTGAGCAATGACAGTCACGCATGGACTGCTGTCAGGAATGAATCTGGAGACGTGGTGAGTATCATGAAACAGATGTGTGATGAAGATGGGGAGAGTGAGGGCTGTCCACGTGGAGTTCAGACTTGCAAGATGAGACAGTATAAGATGACAAGGCCACATGTCTCAGTGGTTCTGTTAATTTTAAGAGCTAATCATGTAATACAGAGGGGGACCAGAAGATCTGATATGACAAACCTGCACGTGTCTGCCTAGGGATGTGAATGCCACCCTGGCAGTGGTCTTGCCTGTGATGAGACATATTTCATGTTGCATGGCCTGTACAAAGGTTAGAGTTAGTCTGCTGGTCCCTGGGGACACCTCATGCCCATGAAGTGCCTTTTGTTGGAGATAAGATGTGGAGCTGTGTCTCCCCTGCCCCTCTCTGAGGGACATGGGGGAACTGAGCTCTTAGAAGAGCTGTTCTGGCCTGAGCCACCATCAACCTGAGGCTGTTCCAGGTGACTTTATTTGTTTCTATTACCAAAAGTGCAAAAAGGCTTTTCAGAGAACTGATCTTGCCCTTTCCATGTGTTTGGCCTGCTTAGATTTTTGCAGGGAACAGTGAGAAAGAGATCCCAGTCCTCAACATGCTGCCGGTGCCGCTGGTCGCGCGCTACATCCGGATCAACCCTCGCTCCTGGTTCGAGGAAGGCAGCATCTGCATGAGGCTGGAAATCTTAGGGTGTCCTTTGCCAGGTAAAAATCTTTCCTTGTTGATGTTGCCATGGCTGCCTGTGCCAGGATTCAGAAATTTTATTTCCTTTGGAGATCTGTGCTTTTTTTTTTTATCTAATACCTGAGCTTAGCGAGCAGAGCTATGCAAAAGTGAACCAGCAATATCTGTCTGGATAGACAGGCAATGTCAGGACAACCCTTCAAATCCAACTGCATGGTAAATGTAAGTGGCTTTATTAATAGAACAGGGTTGCACAGATCGTCTGACAAGATTTTCTGTGTTGTTTGGGCCTAAGTGCAGTGCATTTAATCTTGCTGAGAGCACAGGTTCTAGGGATGCAATAGGATTATGTATTGGGACAGTCACTTGCAGATGTTTTGAGCTTCTAAGGCATGAAAGAACCATTATGATGTAGTCTGATTTTTTTGGTTTTGTTTTTATTTCATTGTACAAACCCTAGGACTTCCATTATTTAATTTGAAGGCAAATACTGTGACTGAGCTAGTGTTTATCTTGTAAGGGGGAAGGAGGGGAGTTGAGGATGCAAAGAATTTGTAGCAAATATCAAGGCTTAACAAATCCAGCATCATCCTTGGTAAGTCTCAGGTGAAGTTAAATGGTTCAATCCTTGGTAAAAACTGTGGCGAAGACACAACCTAGAGCTGTTTAGACACTTGCTGCCTCTAATTCCACTGTTGATATAGGGTCTTCACATGCCAAGGAGAGGTAGCTTGTTTTTTTGTCCATTAGATATTTACTCATGGAAAAGAACCACAAACCAATCTGGGGCATGGAAAGGATACATCTCTGATGGAGAATGGGGCAAGTATTGTCATAAAATTTCACCTGTAGGTGTATTACCATGAAGCAGAGAAATTTAGCAGCATTTGGACAACCGCTTTTCTAGGGGTAACAAATGCACCGGAATGGCAGTGATCAGTGGTGTCCTGTGCACATGAATATTCATGTTTCCAGTAGGATTGTGATTTATTTCAACTGTGGGTTTAGAAAACTCCAACTCTGTGGGTTGCTTATTTCCCACTGTACCTTATCAGAGAAGATAAACCATTTGGTAGAGCAATTGGTAGGAAAAGTCTTATAATAATTTTCAGTTCCATAAACCTGTGCTTAGAGGAGAGCAAAAATGTCACTATTGAAATAGGTGTTTTTTAAGTGTAGCAGTTCTTTACACTACATTAGTAGGTGAAGGTGTTTTCAAGGTAAGGACACATCTGCACTTCCACTGCTGTTCCAGCTTCTGGCAGGTCTTGGATTAGCATGGAAACAGCATCAGTGCTTCTCCCTGGCAGTCATTTATTGAGTTAATTGCCTGCAGTGGCTGATTCAGTTTATTCCTGAAAGAAAATACCAGAATCATTCATTGAGAAACACAATGGGAATGGGGTGTGTTTATTCAAAATGTAATTGGACTGCAAGAATTAATAGGTTTTGATAAGCTGCTGACCCATCTTTTCAGCTCAGAAAGAACTGACATTTCTTTCTTCCAGCTCATTTTCCTCCTCGCACGCAAGGCCCTCAAAACAAAGCTGTTCCTCAGGTTGCAGAGGCCTTTCCATGCACGTTTGCTTCCTGTGGGACGTGACAATTTTTGCAGTTCTCTAATTGGATTCCTCACCCTTTCTTGGTGTCATCTTACTTGTTCCAAATTAGATACCCTGCTGGTTTGGCTGTGGCTCCAGTGACCTTGACAGTGTTGCTCTCGTACTCCATCAACTGTGGGACTAGGAATTGAGTTGGTTTTGGACAGAGGTTTCCCTTATAAAACTGAGCAAGTCTCCTAAATTCATCAAAACCAGGAGGTGGACCTCTGCCAGCTCACACACCTCCATCCTCTCCAAAAACCCATGAAGACCTACGTGATGCTCAGTGTCCTTGCCTACCTGGTGTAGTTTAGATTATACTTGCACCCCAAGTGTGAACAGACAAGAGACCAAGTTGTCAGGAGAAGCAGTTTGGTCCTGTTTTAGAACTCCCACACATCATGTCCTCCTGAGGCAATGCAAGGGCAGATGGGGCATAGGGAAAAATACACTAAGAAATAAAGGGAGATGGAAGGAAAGTACTTTTCATTGCTTTTAATTTATTTTAATGTTTTTTAAACTTAGAACCATAGAATCATTTAGGTTGGAAAAGGCCATTAAGATCATTAAGTCCAACTGTTCCCCCAGCCCTGCCAAGGCCACCACTGCCCCATGTCCCTCACCACCACATCTACATGGCTTTGAAATCCCTCCAGGTATGATGACTCCACCACTGCCCTGGGCAGCTGTGCCAGAGCCTGAAAACCCTTTTAGTGAAGAAATTGTTCCTAAAATCCAATCTAAACCTCCCCTGGCAAAACCTGAGGGCATTTCTACTTTTCTGTTACCTGGGAGAAGAGACTGACCCTTCCTTGCTCCAACCCCTTTCGGGTAGTTGTAGAGAGTGAGTTCTCCCTTGTAATGTAACCTAACTTGTAATGTTAGGGTTTGTTTCTTTATTAATCCCTGAATAAATTAAGCAATTTGCATTCACTCTGTACTGTCTATCAGCTTTCCATCATGTGTGCTCACATGGAGGGTAAGAAAGGAACACCAAACGAAGGAGAAACCTGAATAAGATCTTAATGTTCTAGGAAATCTTGTTAGTACTGGCAGAAGGGGATGAAAATGGTCAAAGACAACTAGGATGCATTCCTGTGGGTAGGGCTCAGTTAATAAAACCTGCTGCATGTGCTAGGTCTACTGGAAGTTGGATAAATTGTGAGAAAAGGCTATTTAGATAATTGGAACAGAGAAGTTTCTGGTTATCTAATCGTATTATGTAAGATTACTGTAATTTTTATCAGTGAAATGCTCATATATTATTCATAAAATGATTTCTTTGCTGCATTGTGGGCTAGTTTTGACAAACAACCTTTTTTAGACAATTACAGTAGCTCTACAGAGAGAGAAAAAAAAAAAAAGCTGTGTTATCCAACTGTGTCAGAACCATCTTTCAGGGAGCAGAAGTGGTTTCTTCTTCCACCAAGGGGAAAAATATTAAGCTGTGGAGAAAAGATGCAAGAAAATCCTTCCTCTAGCAAAGGATCAGTGCAACCATTTCTTGCTGGGGAAAAAAGAGGACAAGAGCACCAGCATTGAATTCCCTCTCCAGTTTCCAAAAAAATGTTGGTATTTACATAGATGTAGACTGACATACACAATCTTTTGCATTTGCCTCAGAGGGATGGATGTACTTTCTTTGCCTCTTCTTTCTCAAACCTCAGAAAAATCAAAAAGAAACTGCATATGATCAAAAGTACCCAGAGAGAGAAAATTAGCTGAGCTCTTCATGCATTTATTTATACAGTAGAGTATTCAAGGCAATAGGCAATTATTTGAATGGAATAAATTTGTGATGAAATTTAATTTTTAATAATTCTGATGTAGAAATCTATCATTGGTATCATGATTGTGCCATCACTTTAAATCCAAGATGAAGGATTAACTCCTGTACTGGAGTACTGGGTTTTGCATCATTCAGTCCTGTTTTCATTACTGGTTTGTCTCTTTCTTGCCACTCTACTTGGTTACATCTAGGACTGCTCTTTTGGTATAAAACTGGCTTTCTACAACTGTTTCTCTCTACAACAGTGCTAAATTCAGTGAGCTACTTGTGAGAGGAAGGTTTTGCTTTGAGTGACAGTCAGTCCTTGGGTTCTGCTTTTACCATTGCAAAGCTCTAACTTCATCTTGGCCAATTTAAAACTTTTTTGGGAGTTTGCATGAGCAAAGGCTGGATAAAGGGTCTAGAGAACAAGTCATACGAAGAGCAGCTGAGGGAACTGGTGGTGTTTAGTTTGGAGAAGAGGAGGCTGAAGGGAGACCTCATTGCTCTCTTCAACTACCTGAAAGGAGGTTGTAGGGATGTGGGTGTTGGCCTCTCCTCCCAGTAATGACAGGACCAGAGGAAACTGCCTGAAATTGCAGCAGGGAAGGTTCAGATTGGATATCAGGAAGAATTTCTATACTGAAAGTGTGGTCAGGCACTGAAACAGCCTTCCCAGGGAGGTGGTGGAGTCACCATCCTTGGATGTATTCAAGAAACATGTAGATGTGGCACTTCGGGGCATGATCTGGTGGCTGAGACTGTGGGGGTTTTTGTGAGTGATTTCTCATGGAGTGTCTCTGGTGGTTTGTTTTTTTATCTTTGGTGATGGTTGGACTCAGTGATCTCAGAGGTCCTTTCCAAACATGATGATTCTGTGATCCAAAAAATGAGACCAAATTAAATAATTCTCTGGGGAAAGGCCAATATATTGTGTTTCTCCTTAGAGAGACATGGAACATCCCCCAGCAATGCAGTGGGTGTCACTAAAAGGCTTTCTTTCATATTTTATTTGTAAAATACTGTTCTGAAGCATCAACAGTCCTCAGAATTACTGTTATTATCTGAATCAAACATTAGGAAATAATTAGAATGATTGAATGCTGGTAGAAAATTATTATAATTCATTATCCTTAACTGAATTAGTTGTTTGCTATTAGCCTATACATCAGCACACATAGAAAAGAATCTATCAATAGCTGAATAATTTTATTTCATTGATTTAATGTGCTATGTTAATGCTCATGAAATAGACTGTGTGGAAAAACCTCACTTCTGATTCCTGCCAGCAGATTTTTTCAAGATCACATGTGTGCAATTTGTGACAGGTTCAATTTAGTGAAGTAGAATTCATTTATTAGAAAAAACAAGGAAAAAAATATAATTTGCAAAATGTCATGCTGAGGTTTTTAAGACAGTATAAAGGATTGAGCCTAGGACATTCTTTTTATTAAAAACTTACCAAAATCACTTGGATTGACTTCATTGTCATTTGGAGCACCATCTGAGCACCACTTTGGAGCCTGGGAGCCCTGTCAGGAAGACACCCTACAACTCACTTCTGTGAGAAGGAAGTACATGAGCAGGTTGTGTTGGGAATGGACGAGAATTCTACTTACTAAACTAGAGTAGTTTGATAACATTGTGAGTCTTGATTTCATCTTCGTGTCATTGAGAAACTCACTTCAGACCTTTCCAGTGCCAGTTAAAGGAACACTGAAAACTAAGGGAGGGAAAAAAAAAGAAAACATGTTGGGAGCACAATAACTGGAAGCCCACTGGAGGAATCAGGGCTCCACCACCATGGAGGTGTTGGGTAGAGCTATAATATATGAGAAAACCCCTTCAGTACATCAAACCACTAAGCAATTGATCCTCTCTGTTACTTTTTATGGGCAGTCCCCAGAGCTCTTGTGCTGGAAAGTAGTTGGGTACTTTAGATGACCTTAATCCTTTTACAAAGACTAGAAATATGAAGGTAACCAGGGACTTTTACCTGCAAACTTAATTACCTCTGCTTGTAATGCAAAGATAGATTAGTGGTAGGAAAAAAATTATCTATTTCTCTGTATAAAAGTGAGTGCCACATTTTTGCAGGGTCTTTTCTCCTTGGAAGAAAGAGAAACTGCCTGAGGTTGTGCCATGAATAAACAAGAGAACTTCAATTATACTTCTTCTGTGGCTTGAGTTTCTTCATAACTCTCAGTTTTAGTAAAGAAAATGTTTGGGGTTTTTTTGCCAAAGTGAACCTGACCAGCTGTGGACAAGACTTGTATGTCTTTCTACATTTTAGCTTTTAATTTTTTAATTTGAATTCCTGCCACAGCAGAAATCCAGTGAGCCAAGGAGAGGCTCAAGTAGAGCCTGGCAAAATGTGGGTGTTAATTCTCAAGGGAGCTGTCAATCTGTGCACTGGTTTTGAAGAAGGACCAGAGATACAATCATTCTCACTCCACAGTTTCTTTTAAGTTTCTCCCAGCTCTGCACAACTCAGTGTAATTCCCATGATATTAACGTTTGATATATGGAAAAAGTGCCAGACTTTCAGAGAAATGGGATTAAACAAGCAGGAAAAAAATACCAGTTGCTGTGTATTTTGGCATGTGGTGAGAGAGAAAACCTTCAACATCCTGGCAGTTTTATGATGTTTTATTTTTATATTTTCATAACAGAAGGATATATTTACAACAGCAAAGCTATTCTGGGTGGTATTAAACATATTGTCTCTTTCTAGCAGAAGTGGTTTGGTCATGAGTCCCATTTCTCAGTCACCAGTATATTAATGGAGAATTTCTACAGCTCAACCTGTTGACTCTGAGGAGTCTGGCATTCCAGAGTCACCTGCAGGGTTAGTGCAGCATTGTTGCTCTCAGTAGACTTGCAGCCATTTAACTTGCAGTTAGGTTGGAAAGAAGACCTGAAAATTCAGGTGAATTATGTGAAACTCAGCTCTCTTGATTCTTCAAAACTTTGTTTCCTGATCCAATTAGGCTTTAATTCAAGCCCATTTCCAGACAGACTTACAGGGTAAGTTCTTACTGGGAAGGACAGACTGTGTTGAATGACCAAATCTATTTGAGGCAAAATGAACAACCACATTTTTTTTTGAGACAAGATGTGTTTTTGGCAGATTTTCCAGTCACCTTTGGAGAGCAGTGTTCAAAAGACCTTCCAGTATTTCTGCTGTAGATTAGGGAATGAAAGTGCAATCAAGCATGGGACTGAAGAGCAAATTGGTGGTAGAGAACACAGGTTGTGTTACAATTAACTTAGTGGAACTTGCATGTTCCATTTAATAAAGAACTTAAATAATTCAGAATTTCCTTTCCTTCTAAATAAGTAAAAAAACCCCACTTCTAGAATGTGTAGAAAGAACAAATTTGAGACTATGAAGGTTTTGATGTCAGAAAAATGAAGCTTAAAAATATCGAATAAGGCGTTTTGAAGCCTTAGGAGTTTTCTGACATTTCATTAAGTGTTGGTTGTAGCAGGGCAGTAGCAGCATATTCTTCCTTCTAAGTATGATGGCACAGGTGATACTGTTTGTTTTTTTAAAAAAAGGAAAAGCCCCACATTTTTCTTCTCTAGAGACAGTGTCTTTGGCTGCACCACAATAAGACAGGATGATATTTAGGCTTTCATACTTGGCTTTTTTCCCCCCATAATTTTTAACTAAATGAAGATGATTTTATGCAGAGGGAAAGCATTTTCCAAACAGACTGGCAGCTTGATAAAGGGTTATTTGAAATTCCAGGCATCCCAGATATGGCAAATTAAGGAATGTGTCCAATGTTTTTCAAATAGACTTGTTTATCTCTAAAGAGAAATAATATTTTAGGCTAGCAGCACATATATTAGGAAATATAAAGCTGAGTCCTAACAGTTTTGAGCAGTTTGGATTTTTTTCCAGGTGAATGGCCTGGAAAATCAAGGAAACAAAGGGTTTTGTTCTAACCACATTCTCCTTTGATACTTCAACACACACATAAATTATACCCATCCAGAAAAGAATGTGCTTATTACTTTAAAATTAAGACCTCAAATTCCACACATACAAAAATGTAGAAGAATAATCTTTATTATTACACAAAGTAGATTCCTTCCTCATTTTGCAGGCAGTGCAGAGACTTGGGAAGTACTCCTCAAGAAAACTAAAAAGTAATTCACTGTAACAGTAAATTAATCAAGTAGATGCCAAACATTTACTGGAGCTTTTTCCTCTAGTGCTTGTTTTTTTTTTTTCTCCCACTCATTATCTTGCATCTGACTAATCATTTCTCAGTATATTTTGTTCTCCTCTGCATCCTAAGGATGCTCTTCTGCTAAAGTTCAGTTGCTTGTGCAGTGTAGCTGCCTAGCAAGATGATGCCTGCTGCCTCCTTGCTTATCTTTGGCTCTATATGACCAGATTTGTGCAGTAATATATAAAAAAATAGAGTAAAAATATTTCCAGTGTGTTGTTTCTTTGAATTTTTCCTTTGAAACCCTGTTTTAAATACATATAGGTCAGTGAATTTCAGATTTCCACATTCCTTGCATGCATTGTGGTTAAACATCTTTGTCTTTGAAATTCATTGGCACGTGAATGTTATTATTTCTTTTCTCAGACCCAAATAATTATTACCACAGAAGAAATGAAATGACAACCACAGATAACCTTGACTTTAAGCATCACAACTACAAGGAAATGAGGCAGGTAGGCAAAGAGGCTGGTGTATGACCTTCTGGATGGAGGGTGGATGGGTGCAGGCTTTTAAACTTTTATGGAATTTTAATTGTACCTTTAAAAATGTTATGAAACTGTGTCTGCAATCTTTTTTTTTTAAGACTTTATTTTCTGTTTTAATCTGTTAAAAGCAGCAATCTGTTAAAATCCAAAAGTCTTTATCTGTACATCATCTCACCTTCAACAGGCGACACTACCTAACAGAGGGAGTATTTACACCTAATGTGCCATCATTTTGCTTCCATATATCTTTGGGTGGTGAATGTTACAGTGGTTTCTGCTTTCAAATATGACCTTGTCTTAGCAGAATTCTGTATTTCAGTGTTTTTCACTGTCCTATCAGCACAGGTGTGAGTTGTCCTTAAGAAATATTTCTGCCCACTTTCTCTGCAACCAGAAAGATAATATGTTTGGATTTGAAGTGTGTGAATCATTTGCTGTGTGCTAAATTTTTAGTGTATTTATACTGCATGAATCACCACTTTTTTTATTGAGCAATTGTGGACTGAGTCACACGTTTATTTTGGTAGAGATTTCAAGACCTATATTTTTTATCACAAAGATTAGACGTATAGAAACTCAATTGGCAGAACTGCTGCCAAGAACAATAAAATAAAGTGTATTTTAGATTCTCCTTATAGAAAGACAGGTTGGTCAGCTTAGAAATTATCTTTAAACCTTCTGGTTCTGTTGTTCCTCTTTTCACATAAGTAGAAACCTTGCAACTGTGGATGAGAGCTGGTCAGTTGTGAACTGTCTTAGACAGTGATCTCCCAGTTTCTGGTTTTCTCTGTCTCAGAATGGTTAATTTATTTAAAGCTCATTGAATTCTAGTTGGGTTCAGCTGCTGGTAACCAGGAAATTGTTGTTTGGGTTGCAATAAGTCTTATATCTCCAAAGCTATTCTTAGACCTTCATCACTTTTTTCCTGTGTAAAATGGGACAGTAACTCAATATCCAGAGTTAACATAATATTTTTTAAGTAGTCTGCATTATTGTCAGTTTTGTTAGCCATTTCACTGTCAAATAATGTTTAGAAAAATGCTGGAAGAAGGCAGAGGAGAGGGTGTTCCCTGGGCTGTGTTTGGGAAACGTGACATGGCATTGTAATGTGTCAGGTATCTGTGACAGGGAGGGTTTTTCTGTGTCTGAATATTTTAATAGAACTCTCTATTTAGGTAGATGAAATTTATAGTACTATTTTTTTTTTCTCTTAAAAGAGAATTCAAGGCTCTGAATGGCAACATTCACTGTATCTCTTATGCAGAAGTCAGGACTGCCTTACAGTCCAAAATATTTATATGATCTATCCATGCTGTCTAGGGTGCTGTTAAAAGGGTTGAAAGCCTCAGAAATAAGTTGAGATGGACATTAAAGTACAACCTTATCTTTGAAACAACAAACCCCAATCATATCCTACTTCAGAAACATGAGTGTTAATTAAAAAACCCATTTAATTGGTTGTGACTCACACCTGTGGACAGGCCAGCCTCCAACCCCCTGTGAAGTCTTGTGTTGCTCTTCACGATCAGCTCCGTTTCTGGACGTGATGTACTGCTAATACAGAGCACTGAAGAACATTGTATATGTTACCAGTGGAACAAGTTTCTTTGAGGGTGAAACCACCTCAAAGAGGTTGTGTGCAATTCCAGGTCACTAACCCCCATCTGAAAGTCTCCAAGCTCAAGGAGGAGGTACCTTCTGGCTGGGCTTGCAGCAGAACAAGAACTATGGAGATCTTGGTAGTGATAGGTTAACAGGTGGTCTCCTTGATCTTAAGGGTCTTTTCCAACCTAAATAATTCTATGATCACCACAGAGGATAACAAAGGGCATTGACTGCCAGCCCTGTTGACTTCTCTAAGTGTAAATGGCACTTAGACTTATATTTAATACACCTTTTATACCAAAGAAAGAAATGGGACCTTTGCAGACCAGTTTTGCGAGGTTTCCTCAAAGACCACACGCAGCCTTTTTGCAGGGCACTAATAGGGTAAATAATTGGTAGTGACAAACAAACAGGAACTGTCAAATAAGAGCTGCTAGCAAGTGTAATTGTGAAAGCGTTTTATAGTCCTGCTGGTTGTTAATAAAGCCCTGACTGACCTCATCAATTGCCTTTGACAGTTTGTACAAAGCACAAAGAAAACTCTGACATTTCAGGTGACCTGTCGTGCTGTTTGTAGGAAATGGGTATGAGAAAAACAGATAGGAAATATGTTCATTTTCAGTGTTGTAAACTTTACTATATCCATACCATTATGAAAGAGCCACAGTGAAGTCTACTGCAGAGGCCCTAATTCAGGAGGGGTTCTTTGTTTGCTTCAGAAAGTAATCAGGTGCTTGCAATTAAAGAGTTGATAGAGACTTGACTGAGGCCAACACAAATTTCCTCTGACTGTTGTGTACTTTGAGCTCTGTTCTAGGTGTTTTCCTCACTAGTAATGAACTTTTAACACACTTTTAACTGCTTTCCTAAGTGGATCCTCAGGGTATCCCATGGCCACAGGAGATTTCTGAGGCCCCACACTCCTGAGGATGGGCTCATTTTCCCTATTTTACATCCTGGGGAGCTGCATGGATGCAGAAATACATCAGCTAGAAGGGATTTTTTCTGCAGTTTGAAGAGAGTACAGGGAGAGGAACTGGTAAGCACACAGCTGAGACAGTAACATGATCTATATATTGTAGAAAACAGTTTTTAACCTACTAAAACAGACCTTCTTTTAATGCAGTATCTGTACTCATTGGCAGAGTGAAAAAAAATATATCTCTGGAGAAAAACACTGTATCTGATCCAATAATAATCCATTCCATCTTCTGGTCAGTAGGACATAATCCCAAAAGAGTGGACCTTCAATGAGTTTTGTTGTGTGAGGGTCTCACAAGAGTTTTGTAGATCCATGTCCTTTGGTGGGATCTTTTGTTCATTATGAGTGGGTTCAAATCAGGCAGATCTTGACCATTAAAATTTAGGGCATTTTGTCTCAAAAAGATGGGACTTAGTTCAACCAAACACTAGAAAATATAAACCTATCTCCTCTGGCTTCACCTCTGTGGTTCAGCTGGAGTAACAAATGATACCCACTTACTCATGTCTAGTTCCATGGGAATGACTGGGTACCCCCAATATCAGCACCCTGATGATGGTGACAGTGGTGAAAAAAAGACATGAAACTGGAGAATACACTGAAGGTGCATAAATACATTTTTCAAACAAGTGCTGAAAGAAATTCTTAGAAAATAAATTGTTTCTTACATGTATGAAACCAATATGTGAGATGAGCAAACGTACCAAAATAACATCTTTTAATTCTCTTTGCAACATGGTTATAAATAGAAGTGAAGCTTTTTATCAGAAGAATTTTAATGATATTATTCCCAATGTGAATTGTGTTTCCACTTAGATTTGCTAAATGGTGGCATGGGAATTGGACATATCTAATTATTGCATTTTTTAAATCATCAGCCTTGTGATCATCCAATATTGTTTCTAAATTAACACTGTGTGAGCAAAGAGCTTTGTTATGCTGCAGTATTCCTTCAGTAATATATGTACCCTTGTTTATGAAAAGATTGTTTAATTAATAGTCCCTAGGGTTCCAATTTTCAGTAAAGTCCTTTCTTTAGTGACTTCCAATGAAAATAAAAATAAACCAAACAAATTCTTGCCATTGAAAGTTATAAATTTTAACATTCAGCTGAAATGCCACATTAAAGAGTGTGTTTGTGGGACACTTTAGACTCCAGGTACTCTTACCTGGATGACATCTGGGTAACTACACGTGGATTTTGCCAGGAGAAATGTCTTCACACTGGCTGTTGGCATTTCCATTATTAATTTTATTTTTTGCTGAACTTGAAGCAAATTGTGAGGAATCTGTTCTGTGTTTATAGAATCATCCAGATTATATCTCTTTTGGCCACATCAACACTACCTTAACTAACAGTTTTTCCTATATGAGCTTTCACATTGAAACAGGAGAAGTGTGGGCTTGGATTCTACTTCAGTGGAGGCAGGTGTAATCAGAATTCACTGGAAAATGGTGTTTAAATGAATTATACCATTCTCCCTCAGTTTGCTTTGAATTGAATTGCTGCCTCACAGGGTGAGGGAGGGAAACATCTCCTTTATTGGGCAAAAAAGTGTCTGTGACAACCTGTGAGGTACACACACTGCCATAACACCAACACCCCGGGTCATCTCAAGTCACTTAGCTGTCGTAAATCACAGAGTATGTGGAAGGGAGTTTTAAAGTGGCTAATTATTTTTTCTGCTTTTATTCCCATTGGATTTCTCCCTCAAGTCTTTAATTTTATTATATTAGAAATGCATCTCTTCTAAGCAAGGTCTTGAAGATCACCTGCCCTGTGGTGTTTCAGCAGAGAGTATTCAGCTTGTTCCAGCTGAGCAAACGTGTGTGATAGGGGAGCTGTAATTCATGGAATAAACATAAAGCTTTTAGAACTAAGAAATAATCAGAAAAGAAAATGAAGGTTTTGCTGCAACCAATTTGGGATGAAATAATGAAGAGCAGATCTCTTTTGATGCTGCATTGTCTAACGAGATGTCATTTCTTTTGTTGGCAGCTGATGAAAACTGTGAATAAAATGTGCCCGAATATCACGAGAATCTACAACATTGGAAAAAGCCACCAAGGACTAAAGCTGTATGCTGTTGAGATTTCTGACAACCCAGGAGAACACGAAGTTGGTTAGGATTTAGTCTAACTAAATCTGTTGAAGGGTGATGGGATTTGGCTTTTTTTTCACACACCCCCCCCCTTAATCCTCATTCTCTATATCTGCAGCAGTTATCACTGATGGAATTATGCTCACAGCAACAAAGATTTCAAATGTATGTGGGAGGAATTTCAGAGCTAAATTTCTAAATTGGGAAGAGGAAGCTGAGCACAAATAGAAGGCATTTTGAATGTGGGATCCAATTCTTTAATGATAATTTTCTTCTTTACATTAACAAAAGTGAATTTTAGAGCTGGGGAATGGATTTGAATTGTGGGAATTTCAGTAGCTTTGGATAGAAATCTGCTTCTTTTTTTCTTTTTTCTATGGGGTGAACATATTGCAAGCAAGGGCAGCCCAAATTATCTTTGAATGTTGAGGTATAATTTCCTATGGGGGTAGAATTCTTCAGGATAGAAATCCAGTCTTTGGCCCCTCTGTGGAGAAAAACAAAGATCTCATTATGATAGTGCCTGGGCAGCTGTTGGGATAAAGGCATCTTGTGCTTTTCCATGTCCATAAATACCCTGATATGCTTTCATCTCACCCAAGGAAGAACACTGTGGTGTCCTCCTAAAACATCTCTCTGCTTTGCCATAGCAGATGGACCACTATAGGTGTAACCTCTCAGTAGAGTTGGGGCTGAACTCAAGCTGCAGTCTCTGAATCTCAGATGTGAACACCAGAATAATTCATCTAACCTACCTTGTCCACTTACCTATGTCTGAGAGTCCTGCAGAAAACACACGAGTGTCTCATGGGCCAGACAAACTGGGAGGGTGGAACAGCCACAAGCCACAGCTTGGCCAGTCTTGGGTCCTCCCTGTTGATGTTTGCAAGTGTTATTCACACAAAGGACAACTGAATTATGGGGCTGTTTTCAGTAGGTGGCACAGCTCCTAACCAACTCTGAAGTATTTTGTAGTTGAGTGCAAGTGTTAAGGTATTCAATATAACCTTGAAAAAGATATGCAAACCTGTTTGTTTTTGTGAGTGAAGGAAAAGAAATGTGTGAAGTCAGAGATCAATTATTTACAGTAGCTGACTTATCTTTTAAGAGCCTTAACATGTGTCCCAAGCAACTACCAGCAGTGTCTTTCTGGTTATTTTTAGACTATCAGATATTTTTTAAGCTACCTGTAACATGCTGAAATTATGAGATCAATTAAGAAATCTGTTTAATGAAAATGGATTTTGAAGGTCTTACTCTGTGGTTTTAGGTATCACTGATACATAAACCTGTTCTAAAATAGAAATGAAAAGTAATTATTTGTTTCTGTAAAGTTACATTTTCAGTTATCAGTTGTTCAGTTCAGGCATTTCTCTACCTCTCCTTGATTGAAATGTTGCTGATTGACACCAGTGTCATTAGGTTAGATACTTGATTTGCTGCTCTGACTACAGTTCTGCCACTTGGGTTTTCAACAGGTGAACCAGAATTCCGGTACATTGCAGGAGCTCATGGAAATGAAGTGCTTGGACGTGAGCTAATCCTTCTGTTAATGCAGTTCATGTGCCAGGAATACCTGGCTGGGAACCCTCGGATTGTCCATCTCATTGAGGATACCAGAATCCACCTCCTGCCCTCAGTCAACCCTGATGGATATGACAAGGCATACAAAGCGGTAATAAGGTTATGACTATCAATGAATCACTTCCATAGAATCCCAGACTGGTTTGGGTTGGAAGGGACCTAAAAGATCATCTAGTTCCAACCCTCCTGCCATGGGCAGGGACACCTCCCACTAGACCAGGTTGCTCTGCGAAGCAATTTAAGAACTTTCCATTTTTACTTCTATTAGATCAACGAAACCTGCTCCTGTTGTCATTATTTGTTTATTTTTTTCCAAAGATCATATTTTACAAGCAAGCAAAAAGAGCAAATTAAATATTAAACACATCAGAGAAAACATAAACCAATGAAACCTCTTACTAAGACAAAAAGCTGAAAGGAACAGTATCTTATGTGCCACTGTTTAACAGGAAGAGGTGTATGGAAAGGAGGGTCACAAAGACTGCCAGAACAAACCATACTGAGATGTACAGATCAATGGAAACACCATCCTGGAAAATTAAGAAATTCATGTGATGTGTTTCTCATGAGAAACCAAGCTGAGCACATGAAAGTTTGCATTCTTCCACATCTGAAATGTAATAGTCCATCTTTAAGGAGAACACAATGTGTAGGGCATTGTAATAATTCAGTCTGGAAGAAGACAGACACCAGGAGGAAAAATCACAGAGTCTGGTCAAATGCACTGGAAAATCTTCCAGGGCAGTCTGTAGGGGACTGGAATGCAAAAGTCACACTCACAGCCATGAAAGGGAATATGTGCCATCCTTATTGCAATCCAGGGGCAAAGCAGTCTGAAACAACCCTAACAATAACAAACCAGGATAATTCAGCTAATCCCAAGTCACTTTTCATGGGTTTTGTTTCATCTCATTCGAGGTTTCATCTAAAATGAAAAAAAACAACACCAAAACCCTAATTATTAATTTTGGTTAATTAAATGATTTATCCTTCCATTTCTGGGAAAAGAATTATCTCTGACACTGAACAGAATCCCAGAATCCCCAGACCCTTTGCTGAAGAGTCCCAGGTTGCTTTGTTTTTCTGAATTAACATTTATCTTTTTCTTCTTTCTTTTTTTTTTTTTTTGGTTTAAATCTAAGGGTTCAGAATTAGGGGGCTGGTCTCTAGGACGATGGACTCAGGATGGCATTGACATCAACAATAATTTTCCTGATTTAAACTCCTTGCTCTGGGAGTCTGAAGACCAGAAGATGAGTAAAAGAAAAGTTCCAAACCACCACATCCCAATTCCTGACTGGTACCTGTCTGAAAATGCCACTGTGAGTAAGACCAGAGGAAGGGAAACACAAAGGCTGTGCAGGCTGGAAGAGGGAGCTCTACAACATGTCTCAGGAAATTAGTAACTTGTAGGTGAAGTTGCATACCTGATCTAAGCTACTTGTCTAGGCTTTTGTTAGTCATTGGAAATGCACCAAAAAGCACCTTTCACTCCTGTGTTTCAGAGGCAGCCCTTGGGGAAGTGACTGCTTCTTGGAGGTTTGTTTTTTTTCCCTGGGCTATTGTGAGAACAGGGAGGACTCGATACCCAACTTTTAGGCAGCAACAGGTAGACAAAGAGAAACCCACTCCAGGGCTCAGTCCTGTGAACCAGGCTTCTCCCTAGTTTTGTGGGGTAAATGAGCTCCTCACAAAGAGAGTCACTGTACAGATTTCTCCTGTTTTCTTATTTGCTCCCATCTGAAACATGTTTTTATTCAAAATAACCCAGGAAGTGCTGAGGCTTATGCAAAATCCATGTGGTGGCTTATCTTGAAGTCATTTATTGGATCATAGTGCCAAAACCTTAACTTGGTTTTGCATGGCCTTTGATTATAATGGCAACTATACATAGTGCCTGAGATTCCCCCAGATTGTGGGGAAGACACTTAACTGTGACAGTGCTGTGGGCTTTAGAAATATTTCTGTGTTTACAATCCCTAATTTCAAAAACTCCTTTCACCTAATGGAGAGGGAGCAGTGGTGTGGTCTGATATCTCTGGCCTCACTCTGTGTGCATGTTCCTGCTGCATAAGTAAAGGACATGAAGGTTGTGTTGATTTTTAAGGGTTGTCAGTGGGACTCCTGTGTCTGGTCTACCTTGGAAAGAAGATGATTGAGTTTCACAGGTTGACACACAAACCACTGTTTCATTTTTCTCCCAGGTGGCAGTCGAGACACGGGCAATAATAGCCTGGATGGAAAAAATCCCTTTTGTGCTGGGTGGCAACCTGCAGGGAGGAGAGCTGGTGGTGGCCTACCCCTACGACATGGTGAGATCCATGTGGAAAACCCAGGACTACACCCCTACCCCAGACGACCACGTCTTTCGCTGGCTGGCCTATTCCTACGCCTCCACGCACCGGCTGATGACGGATGCCAGGAGGAGAGCGTGTCACACTGAGGACTTCCAAAAGGAGGATGGGACTGTGAACGGAGCCTCCTGGCACACCGTGGCTGGAAGTAAGTGTCTCTAGAAAGCAGAATTATCGTGGCTTTGCTAAACACGCTCGTGGCATCACTGCCTGGTGAACGTTGGCAGAGGCAATGGTGGCAAAACCTGTGCGCCGGGAGGAGGGTTTCCCTGTCTGAAAGTCTGTTTGCTGCATCTCATCAGAGGATTGGAGGTCACTAATACCTGGTGGTCATTTCATAGAAAGGCTGAGAGGGTTGGGGCTGTTCAGCCTGGAGAAGAGAAGGCTCCAGGGTGACCTTAGAGCACCTTCCAGTGCCTGAAGATGCTCCAGGAAAGCTGGGGAGGGGCTTTTGACAAGGGCTTGGAGAGATAGGATGAGGGGGAATGGTTTCAAGCTGAAAGAGGGGAGATTTTTATCAGATATGAAGAAGAAATTCTTTCCTCTGAGGGTACTGAGACACTGGAACAGGTTGCCCAGGGATGTTGTGGTTGCCCCATCCCTGGCAGTGTTGAAGGGCAGGTTGAATGGGGCTTGGAGCAGCCTGGGCTGGTGGGAGGTGTCCCTGCCCATGCAGGGGGTTGGAACTGGATGATCTTTAAGGTTCCTTCCAAACCAGACCATTCAGTGATTCTCTGATTTACTACTGAGTTTTCCAAAACATGTTTTTAATGGATTCATGACATTCAAGATTGTTCTTCAGGAGAAAATTGACTATCAAAGGGGAGCCTTTCCTACCTCACAGGATGCCAACAGAAAGATGTTGCCAAACATCAAAAATAAACAGTGTGAGTCAAAACAGGGACTCCTGCATGGATCTAGGAGCATGGGGAGAGATTCCAGTGACCCTTGGATCAAGAAATCATTATTCCATTGAACTCCATCACAGATTGTCCCCCACTCACATTCACTTCAAGTCAGGAAAACATGCCACAGAAAGCTGCTGCTCACCTGCTGCTGTCCTATTTTTAAAAGACCTGGATGTGCTTACACTTTGCCTGGGCTCTGTAGGCATTTCTGCTGCCAGAATAAATTACAGATAACATCATTCATCACATGCCCATGTCTGTCCAGGAGGGTGGAGGGGAAGCTCTGTCCTATAGGGCTGACACAGCATCAAGTTCCAGGAAAGCCCAATTAGAAGCACATTTTAAGAGCAAGAGACATGGTTGTCTCTCTGGGTGGACACTTCCAGCAGACTCAGAACCAGCCCTCTGCTGATTCATCAGAGTTTGCTCCAAATCTTTGGGTTTTATAAGTGCATCTGTTGGATGCATTCTATGAAATAATGAGTTGTGCATCTGCCATCACTAAAATGACAACAGGAACAACTGCAACAGTGATGGCAAACAGATGGAAGTGATCCTGTGCAGCCCAGGTTTGATTGGAGCTGGCTCTTGTTTGTAACTTGCAGGTAGTTTCACTGCATAAATATTTCTGAAGTTTGGACACAGCTTTGATGGCTTTTGCATTGGCTGGTGTAAAGTTAATGCTGGCCAGACTTTACAAGCTAGAGCCAGGAGTTAAATTCCCAAATATTTTCTCTGGAGATTAAAAAGTGCTGGTTGAATTCAGGGGGCAAGATTGAGCTGCTTTGATCACAAGGCCAATGCCTGACAATACATTCCTATGCATTTCTGCAAATTCCCAAAAACAACCCCTCTGAATGCTAACTTGATTGCTTAATTATCTAATTCATGAGTTCAATTTTCCTAAGTGCTATAAGAAACACCATTATGAATTGATCCAGGACCAATGACATTGACCATGTCACTAACAGCTGTCACAATAAGTTACAGTAAGTAATGATATTGATGCTGAATAGTATCTTGATTTCTTAGTAATAATTACATATTGGATTTGGGTTCATCTGATTTGTTTTATTGCTTCATGATGTATTTCCTTATAATTTACATCCTGTTCTCTTCCATTACAAAAAGACTTTCAAGACTTTCTTTGAGAACAATGCTGGAATCTTGCTTTTGCTTCCAGTTCTTTACACCTTGGACTCTACACTAAGCCTCAAAATATGTGGTTTCCATTGGAACTCGGCCTCAAACTTGCAGAACAGTTTAGGTTTCTTCTTTACATAAATAAATAATAGAATCACAAACTGGTTTGGGGAAGGGACCTGAAAAATCATCCATTTCCAACCCCCCTGCATGGGCAGGGACACCTCCCACCAGCCCTGGTTGCTCCAAGCCCCATCCAACCTGCCCTTCAACACTGCCAGGGATGGGGCAGCCACAGCTTCCCTGGGCAGCCTGGGCCAGGGTCTCACCACCCTCACAGGGAAGCAGAGAGTGATTTGTATTGCAGATGTCTATATGTATGCATATATATCATCTGATCATTAACCAATGGCACCTGGCACTCTAACAGGTTGTCCAAACATGATTGTAGGTTTGGAGAGAGATTTACTCCATGTTATTTCACTCTAATTCATGGCTTTACAGATGTAGTTCTATAGCTCTCTCCACTTTTCTGTTTATTTACCTCTTAGATCAACATGTTGCACTTTCCCTAACCCCCTGCTTGCTCACTGCCTGGGCTGGAGGTGACACACCAATATGTCACTTACAGAAAACCGTCCTCCTGCCCTTTGCTGTGGGTGGCATCTCCTGGCTAGAGCACATCTTGAAGCTGCTCATCCTCTCTCTCCTCACCCACCTGCTCCCTGGCCTTGCCAGGATCTTGAACATAAACTTTTCCCTGCTCATGCCATGGGAAAAATTAGAAGGGATTTTTCTAATTCCTTTTTAGCACCAGAGAGTCCCTGAAGTAGTATGTGCACCACAGATATCTTGCACAGATATCCATGTGCCTTTGAAACCCAGCCATGCTATTTCCTGCACATATTTTGGACTGCAATGAGTACAAGTTCTTCAGCAATTTTACTTCTAATGTTTCTGCACTGGGTGAACTGCACAAAGGCAAAGAACAGATGAATTTAATTTTATTTCCAGTGTTTTCTAGGCTGACTCTGCATGTTTCAGACACTGCACGGGGAGTTGCTCTTGGCAACATGAAGCCATTTCCTTAAATACATGTATTAAAACTGAGCAATTACTGCATATTGCAAAACATTTCACAATAGATTAATCAAGATGTAATACAGTATGTGAGGGGAAAATAACTGTGGCTGTTTCTCAGACAGAGGGAATGTTTATGCAGAGTGGCATGTGCCACTGGCTGATATTTAGCTTTCCCCATGAATGACAGTGAAAAGTTTAACATCTGTAATGTATAATCCTCCTGCTCTGCAGCCAGAAGGCACTGAAAGCTCCTTAATTACTTGACTGCAGTTCTTTGATAATTGGGCAGACTAGGGGTGGTGTTTTTTTTCCAAACTCTTTTCAATCAGAAGCACTTGACAAATGCATTTCCTGCT